GGGGGGGGGGTAGGGAGAATATGCAAAAGAGAGGGCGTGGGGGCAGACCAGAAGGGGGTGGAAGACTGACGGAGCAGAGGGAAGGACAGGGATGTGGTCCTGTAGTGTGTGGTCTAACTTCCTGAAGGGATCCCTCCTTGTAGACATGGGTGGCGCCTCCTTCCTTCCTCCCACACCCCCGAATCCTATCCCAAAGATGCTTGCACTGAACTAGGAGGCCCTGCCCTCTGGACACACCAGCCAAAGTCCCATCATTCATATCCGGTCCTGAGGTCTCAAACTGACTTAGGCCCCTGGAGCGGGGCTAGTCACAGAGGAAGCGCAGGACCTCAGTCTCCACCCTTCTTGCCTGAGGCTGAGTGGAGGGAGCCAGCTGGGGTGGCAAAGCCAGACAGGAGCCTCCCCGATAGGGATCAAGGGAGCTGGCAACAGGCTTGTTAGCCTGACTCCAGCATGGGGCTGCCTAGCCACTGATGTCACAACCCCTCCCTCTCTAGCCAGCTAAGTGTCAGGCCGCTCATCCTCCTGCCCACTAACCATGGCCACAGCCTCACTGGGGGATGGGACAGGATGAGCAGTATTCCTCCAGGACTAGCCAGCTCAGTGCCACATCAGCTCCGAGTCTGTTTCTCACTGTCACCCTGAGGCTCGTACTCTTGGAGAAGATAGCTAGGTACTTGGGGACTCAGCCCCTGTGGAACCCTTCTACCTGCAGGATACCCAGTATGATTGACAGCTCATAGGCCCATGTGTCCCAAGGTCCCTCCTGTTCCCTTGCTGTACGGTTCTCACTGTCAGGATGTGGAGACAGAGGCCTGAACCCCCTCACCAAGCCCACAATAGCTGGGGCCAAGCTGGAGTTTAAACGTACGCTCTCTAATCCCAGAGACATCCTCCTGCCACATGTTGACCCTTCCCTGCCCTTCTCTCTGGCCCTGGGCCTGAGACGTGTCATTGAGGAAATTACAACTGGATGCTCTAAGTGCCTATCACAGCCAGAAAGTGGCTAAGAGGCCACCAAGTCTCTCTAGAGGGCCCCGGGGCACCAGCTCTGAGCTGGTTAATCACAGGCTACAGTGGCTGGAGAGGCTAAGACCTGATGGGTGGGTAAGACCAGCATGGGCCAGACAGCACAGAGCCTCCTGGCCTAACCCCTGGGGTCTGGGCACACAGCCCCTGGAGGCCTTTCTGCAGCCTTGACAGTGCCAGGTGCCCTGGCCCTGCAGAGCTTCGCAGGGAGACACGGCTGATGGGCAGAAACGGGTACACAAGGACAGAAGCTACAGTTAGCAGGCAGGAGGCTGAGCAACCTGACACAGGCTTCCTGGTATAAAGCCAGCTCTGCCCTGCCCCTCCTGCCTGATCCCAGTAAGTAGTTCAGTGTCTCTGGGCCTCAGTTTCCCCTGAGAGCTGTGTACTGTTGTAGGTTCCCAGAGCTACAGTCACAAAGCCCTACAGACAGGGAGGCCTAAACGAGAACATGTCACCTTCCCATTCTAGGACTGAAGTCCAAGATTAGGTGCCATCAGAGCACCCTGTTCCATCCTGGGCTCTGAGGAGCCTGGCCCCAGCCTCCCTTTTGATTTCCACTGGTTCCCAGAATACCCTACGTTAGGGTGCATCCTTCCTGCCTGTGTTCTATGGCTCCCCTTTGTACCTCTGTCGGCTTCCCACTTCTGGAAACACCAGTGCTTGGTCTTAGGGCCCCTCCTCCATCCAGATGTCATCATAACCCTGTCATACCTACAGAGATCCCCCCCACACACACACTCCAAGTGAGGTCATAGCCACAGAGACAGTGGCCTCAAGCATAGTCAGAGCTTGAGCACATCTGTTTAGGGGATGCCGACCCACAAACGTGCCATGAGCATTGAACAGACCTGACCCCGGCTCCGTGGAAGACTCTGGTCCTGCTGGGCCCATGTGTCCCTTTGAAGGGACTGTTACATCCCTCAAGTGAAGTGTGCTAGACAGTTCATGTCTCTCCCCGTCTCCGCTCAGTGTCCTCAGGGCTTGTGTATCTCTCATTGTCACTCTGGGGAAGGTACACCAAGCTGTGCAGCTTTTTGCCCCCTCCCATCCTGACGGCAGGCCTATGGCACCTGTACAGACAGTCCATTTCTCAGATGAGGAGACTGAGGCTCAGAGGGTTTATAGGGCCTGCTGGAGGGCAGGCAGGTCATGGGTGGGACTGAACTGGCAGTTTGAGTTCTGACTGGCTGGCTCCAGGGCCCTATGGTCAGGCACAGATGCCACTCTGGTTTGGTGCATGCTGACACGTCGTGGGCGCTATGTTCCACTATAGGAAACTGCAGGTCAGAGACAAATATCATGTCCTTATGTCCGTGAATTGGGTCCAGCTTCAGTGACAGCCAAGGCCACACCTAAAAGCAGTAGAGCCTCAGTTCAAACCCAGGCTGTGGGGCAGGGGAGTAGGGGTGCTCCAAGCCTGTGTTCTACTGCACTGATCCCCAAGCCCAAGGCCCTGCCCTGAGTGTCCCTGTGTTTGTCTGTGCAGACACCCTCTGTTCGGCCGCAATGTGCCACTTTCCAGCGGCTCGGGCTTCATCATGTCGGAGGCCGGCTTGATCGTCACCAATGCCCACGTGGTCTCCAGCTCCAACACTGCCTCAGGACGGCAGCAGCTGAAAGTGCAGCTGCAAAACGGGGACGCCTACGAGGCCACCATCCAGGACATTGACAAGAAGTCTGACATCGCCACTATCGTGATCCACCCCAAGGTGAGAGGGAGGCCTCGGGGAAGTCCAGCAGCACCGCCCCAGACCTTCCAAGACCACAGCACATTAGACCTGGAGCCCCTGGGCTGCCCTTTTCTGAGTCCCCAGCACTGGGACCAAGCAGGATGGCCATGATGAGCCAGGAAGTCTGGCCCACACAAGGGACTGGATAATGTCCCATGGCTCCCACCTCTTCAGTAGCCCACTCCAGCCCACACCTGGGAGTGATTGACCACAAGAAAGCTCTTGAGAGTCCTCCACCCTCCACCTCTGTGTCTGTATGCCCTGTAGCCATCCAGGCAGACCTATGCCAGGGCCACAGGACCTCCAAGATCACCAGCAGCTTCTAGAAGCCTGGGTGAAACACCTGCTTATAGCACAGCCCTTGGTAGAAGGACCCTCACCTAGAATCTCACAGGGAGAACTGAGGCTTGGGAGGTTAGGTCACATACACAAGATCACAAGAAATAGTAGCAGCCCCAGCCCACCAGGCCTAGACCAAGGCCTCCCTCAAACTGGTTTTTACTGCATGGTTCACTGGATGACTGACTCTGGAAGGCCATGGGGACTACATGCCCCATCCCCATCCAAAGGCCCCTGCGCCTTCAGGGTAGACCCCTGCCCCTCCTGGATGGAGGTTTATAGTGTCCATGGTGACAGGGCTTTTCAGAGTACACTGTCAAGGTGGAGGGTCCATAATGGGTAACCTGATGCAGACCCTCTCCACTCCTGAGCCCTGTCATGGACTGGGGTTGGGTACACCATCTCCTTAATAATAACAGGGAAACTGGAGGCTGAAATGACCACAGGAACTCTTCAGACTGTGAAACTACAGCTTTTCTGTGACCAGCATGCTTTGCTGTGCTGAGTCTCCAGGGCCAGGTAAGGCTGTGAATTCAGCCACATGTAGTCACAGGGAGCTGCGGGTCAGTGCCAGGTACCAGGGCCCCTCCACAGCTTCCACAGTGTTGATAACAAATGTGGTTATTGCAGAGTGAAACCCAGGAGACTGCCCTCAGTGACAGGTGGTACATGCCTGCCTTTCTCTGAAGGCACAGCCCCATGTGTGTGCCTTGGCACTGTCATACATGCCTCTGGGGGAGAACTTGTGCCCTGTGACTCCTACACACAGAGCCACACACAGGGCTGCTCTCCCGGGCCACAGCTGGAATGTCAGATAGTTGGAGTCACAGAGTGACAGGCTCTGCTGGCCCTGTGTGAAACAGGCATGTTCAAGTACCCCATGTTCCAGAGATGACAGGGTGAGACGTCACCTCTCCAGGCCTCAGTTTCCCTGTGTGTCTATATTGGGAGATCAAAGATTTCAAAACTAAGGTCCTAGGCCCTTGGCAGGCCTCCAGGCACCTATAGGCCCCTCCATGGGGAACATCCATTTGGGTAGTGGCACACGAAGCCTGATGGTCTCTGTAGCCTCCAGCAGACTTACAGAAGAACCTGTCAACATCAAACCCCCGGGCTCAGGAATGCCAAATGCCAGGCCCAACTGGACACTCTGCACCTCCCCATGACGGACTCTTGTAACCTGCTCAGACAAGACTCAGTTCTGTGGTCCCCAGCCCTAGTGTCTGCCTGCTGCTGACTTGACCTACATTCACATTGGGGGCCTTTCCTCAACCTGGTCTTTGATGGCTCAGGGATGTGCTCTTCTTTTCCAGAGACCAGCTCTGTGGCCTGAGCCTCTCACCCTTTCCTATTCTTCCTCCAGAAAAAGCTTCCTGTGTTGCTGTTGGGTCACTCAGCAGACCTGCGGCCTGGTGAGTTTGTGGTAGCCATCGGCAGCCCCTTTGCTCTGCAGAACACGGTGACAACAGGCATCGTCAGCACAGCACAGCGGGATGGCAAGGAGCTGGGCCTCCGGGACTCAGACATGGACTACATCCAGACCGATGCCATCATCAACGTGAGTCCTGTGGGTGAGGCCAGCCTCAGTGGCCGCCAATCGGTTTGTCCCCTGCCCCGTCATGCATCACACCACTGTCTAGGAAAGGCTTTCTTTAGCTCGTGTGGAGAGCTCACTCTGACTGCCTCCAGGGTCAGACAACTGTAGACAGCTGCAGAGGTGGAGTGGCCCAGCCATTCCTTGTAAGGTCTTGACCTGCCCCACTCAGCCTGGCTTTTTTTTTTTTTTTTCACTAGAATTACATGGCTGCTTTTACAGAGCTTCCTGCCCAGGTGCCTTGGTACACATTCCTGTGCCTGTTGTGACTGATTGCTGGAGCCGTTAGTGTCTATAGACCACCAGACTCAACCACTGCCCGTCCCTCAGGCACTAACAGCCAATGAGAGGCGGAGATGCCAAAGTGCAGTTTTGAGCAGAGTGCTTGCGGGTCAGTGGGACACCTGCCTGCCTGCTGGCCGCTGTGGCCCCAGCTTTCCTACCTGTGAAATGAGGGCTGAACACTGAGACTGTGAAATTCTGGTTACCCATCTTGTCACTGGCAGGAGTCAGCTGGGCATTTCAGGGGACTTCACAGCACGGCTAACAGCCTATTTTCTCCTTTGCAGTACGGGAACTCTGGGGGACCCCTGGTGAACCTGGTAAGTGTTCCCTAGAATGGAATGTTTGGTTTTCTGGGACTCTGCTCACAGAGGTACAGGCTGGAGCCCTAGAAACTGCATGTCCAGAGGTCAATAGTGTGGCTGGGTTGGAGGCCCAGGAGGACCTGAGCCCCAGGCATGTGCCGCCTGGACTCCTCAGGGACAGTGGCAGGTGTCAGCAGTGAGAACTCACCTAAGAACAAAGGCACTGGGCAGGGGGCCATAGGCCAGGCCTTCACTACCCTGGACCTTGCTGTCCTCAGATGGAAGACAACAGAAAGAACAGCCCCATGCACTCTGTCCTCCTCACTCTTCCCTCCCAGAGTTCGGTGCAGCCTCATCTTGGCTGAGATTTTCACAGAAGGTTCAGTTTGGATCCCCAGACCCAGTACAGCCTGCCCTCTGGCGCTTATCCATAGAGCGGGCAGTGTCCAGACCTGACAAGCCAGCATGCCACATAAGCACCTGAGGCAGCTCTGAAGGGACATAGGCCTCAGCACCGAGAGCAGACTAGGGAGGCTTCCTGGAGGTGGGGGCTTCTGGCATGTGTGGAGATGGTGGAGTGGGGAATCCCAGGGACGAGGCATAGCACCCAGGAGTGCTGCTACTGCAGAAGCCAGAATAGGAGAGGACAGCGGTTGGACAGCCGAGGACCAGAGCTCTGTCCAGCTGGTGTTCATGTTACCTGTGCAAGTAGCTCCATCCACCACACCCAGGCAGGGCTACGGGTAGAACCTGAGCTAGACTCTAGAACTCTGCCCCAGGCCTCAAAGGTGTCCCCTGGAGAGCTGGCTAAGCTCTGGCTGGGTTGTCTTGGGTATCCTGCACCCCTTCTGTGGTTAGGCCTTGGGAAGCGATCCTGCCCAGGTATAGGTCCCATTGGCCAGGACAGCTGCTGCCCTGGTAGCACTAGCTCTGTGACAAAGATAGACAGGAAGGAAGACAAGCTTGAAAAAGAGAGGGGGGGGGTTCCTGTTCCAGAAGGAAGGGATACAGGGCACTGGGTCCCTGATGGGCTTTCTCACATCACCCCCAGCTTGTCAGAGCACAGCTTGGCAAGTGCAGAGAGGCTGAAGCTGGAGAGACAGGCTTCCAGGGTTCGGAAGCACTCAGGTGGAGGCAGTATTCCTGACCTGGAAGTAACCCAGAGAGCCATCTTCCCAGAACAGTTGAGGGCTGCTTGGGGAGTCTCCATGGAGCAGTGAAAGCCAGGCTCCACCTCCAGAAAGGTCAATGCACATACCTGCTCGGCAGTGGAGGTTGGTTAGTTGTGTGTCCCCAGGTAACCCCTTGCTCTGCTCACACTGCCCAGGATGGTGAGGTCATTGGCATCAACACACTCAAGGTCGCAGCAGGCATCTCCTTTGCTATCCCCTCGGACCGCATCACCCGCTTCCTCTCTGAGTTCCAAAACAAGAACGTCAAAGGTAAACAGCTCACCTGAGGGGCAGGTAAGGTGGGAGCGCCCCAGAACGAGGTCTCACCCCACCTGTGGCTCAGCCAGGGCCTATCTGCAGGGGCTGGGTGAGCCGTGCTTACATTCCCCCAGACTAGAAGACCCCAGTGCGGCTCAGCCCGGCCTCTCTCAGGCCCTTCCTCTGTGCCCTCAGCTCATGGACATGTTCATCCTCTGCTTCTCCACACAGTTTCTTCTTGGTGGTGCTGGTGGTTGTTTTTGATTCGTTTGTTTTGATTTTTGAGACAAGGTCTCACTATGTAGCCCTGGCTGACCTGGAACTTGCCTTGAGCTCATGGAGGTCCCCCTGCCTCTACCTCTGCCTCCCAAGTGCCGGGATTAAATATGCATGCCACCATGCCTAGCCCAGTTTATAAGTTCCCATCATCCAAGTGTGGACTTTCTGAGTTCCTCTTAGTTGGCAGACAATCGTGTTTCCTTCCTACCTCCCATCCATCTACCCATCCAGCCCTCTATCTATCTCATAACCTATTCACATCCACCCATTTACCAATCTGTCTGCTCATCCATCTACCTATCCACCCACTCATCCATCCACACACCAATTTGTCCATCCACCCAATAATTCATCCACCCACTTATCTATATATCCTTAACCCACTTATTCATCTGTCCATCTTTGCATCCATCCACCTGCCCATTCACTCATTCACTTCTTGCCGGTGCCAGCTGGCCAAGACGGACAGTACCTGAAAGGAGGCGTGAGGATTGAAAGAAAAAACAAGAGACAGAGAAAAGATACTTGGGAGGACTGTCAGTAGAGACCGCAGCCCCGGTTTATTTTAGTTCAGCCTTTTTATACAGTAGAACATCAGCGATTGCCACTGTTTGCTTAGCTCAATTAGCTTCAACAGCTGTTTTCCCACCTGTATCTGAGGGTCAAGGAGCGGTCAGATACGTGTTGTGAACTCCACCATTTAACCATCTTCCCTAAATTATAAACACATTCCTCCTGACTTGGCAGATTAGGTACTGGTGTGCAAAACACAAACTCTAAGTAAACAAGCAAGCCTGCCACAGCTCAATGTACATAACGGCTGGCTTATATCAATAGCTCCCAACAACTTCTCCACCTGTCTTCCCATCCCTCCACCAGTCCACAAATCCATTCCCCTCCCATTCTTCCTCTTACCCTTGCATGTATCCAGCCACTCACCTACCTGCACACCCACCTAGTCACTCATCCACCCTCTCATCCATGCATCCATCCTCCCTGTCATAAAATGGATTCATCCACTCATCCACCTCTCCTCTCCCTTCTGTTCATTCACTCATCCTTCCATCCATCTGCCCATCTGTAAGTATTCCTTTCAGCCTATGGGTCATGCAGACAGCCTGGCAGGGCGTCCTGTTTTCCAAGAGAGCAGAGCCCAAGACCCTGATCCTTGAAAGTCAGCCTCCTGCCCTCTTCTACCTCCTTGCCCCAATCTAAACAGGGATTTCTGGTCCCTGTTGCCCTCCTAGATAGCCATCCACATCCTTCTGGGAGAGGGCTTGCCAAGGTACAAGGTGGCTTTCCTGGACAGAGTATGCCAATCTTTCTGGTTAATGATCATGGTCACTGCCCAGAGGAGGGGTCCCTTCTGATCTCAGGCTGGTGGTGGTCCCCTTTCCGTTTTCATCCCAGTGAGCCCTAACTGCCATGAGTCTACCACGCTGCCTCCTGGCTGATGCCCACACCCTCACACTGCCTCCCTGTTTCCTCCCAGCCCCCTTACCAGCACTTCATTGAGAGCAGGGACTTTTCTCCTGCTTGCCCCCTCCTCTACGACCCTGCCAGCCACACACACGGACCCCAGTGCAGCCAAGACTGGTCCGGGAGAACTGCCGTTGAGGAGCCTCGTCGTGTTCCAAGTGCAGTATGTGCAGTTGGTCAGGAGCAGGCAGAGCCTGTCTTTCCCAAGAAGCGGAGGCACTTGCATTGGACAGTGGGGACCATTGGCCTTCCCAGACCCCTTTGCTCTTGGCTGCTGTGAAGCTCAAAACTAGACCAGGGTTCCAACTTTACACCCTTGGCAGCCTTGGCTTTTCTCCGATGACCAAGTCTTTCCAGTTTATCCTGTTGAAGGGAGCCCTTGACTTTGACCCTTACTACCAGAAATCAGCAGAGCTCCATCCATGCACACTAGGCCCAGGTGACTGCTATGTGTAAATGGGTCGGTGGCCTCCTGTCCCCTTTCCTTCTTCATTTGTCAGACAAGAACCCATTGGGACCTGAGTCTGCTCCTCTGTTCTTGAGACTGTCCCAGTCAGTGCTGACTTCAACTTGGGCCCCTGGGAAATGCTCACCCCCATCCCTAGAGCCATGTCACCTCCTAAGAACAGTGCCTACCAACTGAGGGGTCAGTGAAGCTTGAGAGGAGTCTGTTACCCCAAAGTCTTCTGAATTTTGTGCTTATTTATGCATTTCCTTTTTAAAATAAAAACATCAAATGATCCAAAGCCAGTTAATCTATGTTCTTTAACACATACGTTTTATTAAATCAAGGTGGCATTAATTACATTTCTTTTCTCATTCAGGGGTTGGTACAGAGGCCTCTGGGGGCTTTCAGAGTCCTGTGTGACCATAATATTGCTCAAAAGAGTGGTCCCCTTGGCTGTGAGCCAGGAGCTACAGAGCAGCAGGAGAGGCAGGTAGTGGGCAGGGCACCCACCCCCTCAGGTCACAAGTTTCCTTTGGAGAACTCCCATGCTGGATGGAGTCCCAGATGAGGAGGTGGTCCTGGGAAGGACACTAGGCCCACCACGGAAACAGGGGCGGAGCAGGAGCCTGGGCTGAGCCCTAAGCCAGCAGCTGAGTGGCAGTCCTGTCCTGCCTCTAGTCCATTCTCAGGAAAAGCAGCTATGGGGAGAAGACACCTGAGGATGGACCAGCCTTGTTCCAAGTACTGGACCCAGGCACCTGACCTAGCCTCCTCTTCTCAAAGACGGGACAGTCATAGCAAGTATCTGAATGTTTGGGCTCTGCCCTGCCCTCCCCAGGCTGTACACACAGCTCCCCTCCCACCTTCCCCCTAGTGGGGAGGGGGACTCTAAAGCATCTTGGAATCACATGACACCTGAGTGATGACCCTGGGCAGGAAGTAGGGGAAGGCGCTGTGGAGGGCAGGTGACAGGAGACCTCTCTGAGGAAGTGACTCCTGGTATACAGTGCAGGGAAGGAAGAAACATTGGCTCAGGAGATTGGGTGTGTGCTAGCCCAGTGATGGATGGTGCAGGATAGCCCAGCATCCAAGGAGGCCAGTGTGAGGGTCATTAAGGAGACACACAGGGCAGAGGTCTACATGGATCAGGATGGCTCTTGTGGGGCCTCAGGAAGGGAATGATGGTACATAGGATTCTATGGCTGCCAGACAGGGGTTAGGGGCTGAGAGGAGACCAGGGACATCAGGGCACAGTTACCTTCCTATGGTTGAGTCAGACTTTGTTTGAAGGTTGAGGCAGTGGGATTTACCAAAAGGCAAGAGGTGTGATGGAAGACAAGGAGGGGCTGATGTGCTGAAGAGGGACCAACTGGAAGCTGAGGAGGTGTCCTGGACAGCTGGCTGAGGTGCCTTAGCCCTGTCCTGAGAGAAATCATAGACAGGAAAGGGGCAGCTCCTTAGCACTGCTGGCGCTGAGATCCAGAGGCTCACAGGCTGGGCTTCCAAAGTTGGAGGATATAGTTCCTCTTTCTGGCTGAGCTTGGACCATCATCACCCAGCAGCTAAAGTTACAGCGTTGGGTGTGGGGACCCTCTGCTCCTCAACTCTTGGCAGTGCTCTCGACATCGAGAGACAGAGTCTCAACACACTCCTTCAGCTCTGCAGTCTCTCAACTTGTATCCACCATTTTAGCAGGATCAGCTCAGTTGATCTCTGGAAGCTCAGGGTGGCTCTCTGGAATGCTCGGCTTCCTCTTGGGGTGACAGTCTGAGCTTACGGTACTGGGTCCGCGGTTCTTGGTAGTTCTCTGGAACGCTCGGCTTCCTCTTGGGATGACAGTCTGAGCTTAGGGTCTCAGTGGCTGTCTGGATTCTCACCTCCCTCCTTGCTGCCAACTGGACTGGGAATTCTGGAGTTCTTGTCTGTTGTGGTGCAGCCAGTTCAGCCTACTCTGCTGTGACAGGGACACAGGTAGACAAAGGACCATTCGGGAAGCGCCTTCCTTAGGGCAGGTCACACACAGGTGAGGAGGAACCTCCCAGGACTCCTTATATAGCTAGAAAGGGCCTGGCATGCTATGTGCAGACTGCAGGCCTACTAATTACAGCACAGCTTCCTGTTCCACCAATCACAAGCCCCACATGAGCACAGCCTCTTTTCTGTCAATCACAAGCTCTTTGCTGAGTCTCTGGGAAGGTATCCTTTTTCCTCCTCCTCCAACTTGTTGAAGTCTGCTGCTACCAGGGGCTGAAGCAAAGTGGCTCTGGACAGGGCCATCTGGAGGTCACCAAGGCTGGACTGATGCTTCCCTGGAGCTGCCCTGACTACAGCAAGGCCTCCTGGCTCCAGCAGCAGCTGTGGCTACAGTGGCTCTTGCAGCTGGATTGGAACTTCCCCTGAAGACTAGAAAGTGCACAACAGCCAGAATGACTGTCGGAGGAGGGGCTGCTTGGCTGACAGCCCCCTGCTTAAGGCTGCCAGGCAGAAGGGCCTGTCACCTGTCATTTAAGGGAACACATTGCCTGTTTCTAAAAGAAGAAACAACACAGAAACACCAAAGACTGAACAGCAGGAACACAGTATGAAGCTAATGCTGTCACCAGTGTCCCTTGCTTACCCTTAGGGACAGCGACCCCTCTGACATGACTCAGGATGAGCCCCTGGCCTGGAGCTTTACCCTTGCTATTGTTTGGCGGGCTTGCCTAGCAAGCCTGGTTCAGTGGCAATTATCCCAACACTGTCTAGGTCTGGAACATTCTTAGGTCCCTTTAAGGTACCCCTGTCTCCGCCCCCATCTTGTCACAGTTTTGATGTCATCTGATGCCTCTGCTACACAATGCACAGGACAAGTGAAGCATGCTTATAAAGAAACACCCCCTCTCTGGCCTCTTTCCAGCTGTGCTGCACATGCCTCACAGAGGTGATTTTCCCACAGTGATAGGGTAGGAGTGGAAGGGTTGAGGGTTACAATTCATTGGCCTTAGAGATTCGACCAAGCCCCCCACCCCGGCTCTCTGCCCCATCCCAGCAGTGTCGTTAGAGAGCCAGCCTCCTCTGAAGCTGGGGTTGGAGGTCTACTGGGTGGCCTGCAGAGAGAGCCTCCTACTCAAGGATATCCCTGGTCCCAGAGGTAGCCCTTAGCCAAACCATACCAAGAAGGCATCACTCGTAGGAAATAGACCAGGGCCTGTTCCCCACAATATGGAAATCTGAAGTCTTGGACTTTTTAAACATGGCCTTGGGGTGCAAACCAGGCTGACCAGTGGCCAGTGCCAAAAGAGTGTCATCCCAGACACCCAGGCTAAGGACTTGGGCTTCATCCTATCCTCATTCAGGCTCGTGGATTTAGGTGCCATCTACAGCTATGTCCTGGACATCTATCTCCCTCCTGGTCTTTCCCAGTGTGAGCTGGATATACAAATGTGTGTGGGATGTCACGTGTCCCAGAGGCACTGTATAGCACCCTACACACACCGGCGACATGTTCACCTGCACCCCACCCACTGCACTCTCAGTGAAGCGTGCCCCTACCCTTCCTGAGCTGTCACACCTCTTGCCACCTATCCTCAGGTCGTCCCTCTCAGATCTGTACCTGCCTCATCACAACTCTGGCACCCAGAACTACTAGCCACCAGCACTCTGGCTCACCACAGAGCTGTTCCAGCTGCTCCACAGACCTTCTCTCAGGCCTCAGAAATAAAGCTAGGTGTATCTGTGATTCAGGCAGAACCCAGCGCCTTCCGTGGCCAGCCAACCTAGTCATCCCATGACCTAGTTGTGGCCCATTAATATTTGGTGAAGTGTCTGATTAAATTGTTTTGCCCATTGTAAGTTTTTGTGTCGTTGTTAGTAAATTGCATGGGCTCTTCATACATCACGAGCCCTGATAAGTGAATTGCAGTGTTTTCTGCTGCTCTGCGCCTTGTCTTTTTTCTCCCCTATCTTCAAAGAGCAAGGGTTTTATACATTTCGGTAGGTTTTTTGGTTTGATTTGGTTGGTTGGTTGGGTTTTGTTAATGGGTCGCCTTTGGTGTTAAATCTAAGGAATTTAGCAAAGCCATGATAAGAAAAATATTTTTTCTACTAGAAGTTTTATTTCATTTTATTTTTTGAGCTGTCAAACCTAGGACTGTGGTGCACTTTGAGTTCTTTTAAGTAGCGGGACGATGGAATGAAAGTTTTGTTCTGTTCTTGGGTACCATTTGCTCAAAGAAGTTTCTCCACTCAGGCGGCTTCCTGGCTTTGTCACACAACAAGATAGCTCTAAGCTCTTGCAGTCATCCATCATCTGCCTTTCACAGCTGCACTGTCTCAGTTCCTGCAGCATCATGGGAAGTCCCAGGGTCAGGCAGTGTAGACCCTCTACCCTGCTGCTTCATGAGGCACCTGCAAACTGGAACTCACAGGGTCTAGCAGCTTCTTGCTAGATTTCACTGGATTTATCTACATAGATGGCTGTGAGGTCTGTGAATAAAGATAGAGCTTTAAGCCGGGCGTGGTGGTGCACGCCTTTAATCCCAGCACTGGGAGGCAGAGGTAGGCAGATCTCTCTGAGTTCAAGGCCAGGCTGGTCTACATAGTGAGTTTCAGGACAGCTGGGGCGACAGGGAGACCCTGTCTCAAAAGGACCAAAAAAAAAAAAAAAAAATCCTTTGAAGCTGAGAAGATTGCTCATGGGTTAAATAAAGCATTGGATGTTCTTGCAGAGGACCCGGGTTCAATTCCCAGCACCCATATGATGGTCAACAACCATCCATGATTCTAGTTCCAGGGGATCCAACACCCTCTTTTGTCCTCAGTGGGCACTGCATGACACAGGTGGACTCACACACACAGGCAAAACACTTATACACATAAAATTTTTTAAAAATTAAAAAAAAAGATAATCCTGGGCTGGAGAGATGGCTCAGCAGTTAAGAACACTAGCTGTTCTTGCAGAAGACCCAGGTTTGATTCCCAGCACCCACATGGCAGCTAACAACCGTCTGTAACTCCAGTTCCAGGGGATCCGAGAGCTTCTTCTGTCCTCCCAGGGCACTGCACAACACAGATGCACTTACCTACATACAGGCATAACACTCATACACATAAAAATAATAAATAAAATATTTTTTAAAAAAGATAGTCCTGGGGGCTGAAGAGATGGCTCAGTAGTTAAGAACACTGGTTGTTCTTGCAGAAGACCTGGGTTCAAATCCCAGCACCCACACAGCAGCTAACAACTGTCCATAACTCCAGTCCCAGGGGATCCAACAGCCTCTTCTGACCTCCGCGGGCCCTGTACAATATGGGTGCACCTACCTACATGCAGGTAATACACGCATACACATAAAAAAATAAAAATAAAAAAGGACAGAGTCCCTTTAAAAAAAAAAAAAGATAGTCCTTTCATGTACCTTATAAATGGCCCTCCTTCCCGCCTTCCCTTCCTGCCTTCCAGTATTGAATAAAATATTGACTAAAGATGCTGGGGATGGACACATCCTTGTCCAGTCCCTGTGGGGAGACACATCTAGTTTTTTTTGCCACGAAATGGTCTTAGGCACAAAGTGTGAGACTTTGCCTGGTTGAGTTGATTGTGGTTTTCCTTTTTAGCCTGTAGTAACTAGCATTACCTGAGTTTTTAATTTTTTAAGGAATTGGGGATTGAACCCAGGTCTTCTATATGCCAGGCAAGTGCCGTCCCATTGGGCTGTATTTCCAACCCTTTTTCCTTTTTATTTTGAGTCAGGGTCTTACTGCATTGCCCAGGTTGGCCTTGTACTCACTCTGTACCCTAGGCAGGCCTTGAACTTGCCACCCTCCTGATTCAGCCTCCAGAGTAGCTAGGATGACAGGCCTGTACTACTGGGCCAGGCTATTTTTTTAATATTTATTTCATGCATATAAGTGCTTTGCTGTTTGCATAGTCAGGGCCTACAGAGACCAGGAGAGGGCGGCAGAGCTACCATGTTGGCACTGGGAATCGAACCTGGGTCCTTTGCAAGAGCAGCAAGTGTTTTTAACCATTGAGCTATCTCTCCAGCCCCAACCCATCACCCCAGCTGATTTTTTTAATGCTTAAACCAGCTGTGCATTCCTGGAAAGAATCTCTCTTGGCTGTGATATATCATCCGTTTTGTAGGTTGTTGGATTTGATTCGCTGCAAGTGTGTGAAGAATTTTTGTCTCTATCTTCTGAGGATGTTCGTGTAGTCTCTGGTTTGGGTCAGGAGACAACAGATTGGGAGAATTCTGTATTGGGTCACGTTCAGGACCCTGGAGGCCTCTGTAGAACTGGAGCTGTTTCTTCTCTAAACAGTTGCTAAAATTCAGTGGTGACGCCACCTGGGCCTGAGCATGTGGGCAGTGATGCCCACTGCAATTCTTGGCATTGATAACTACGTCTTTTCCTCGCATTCACACTGGCTAATGATGTCTTGGTTTTATCGATCCCAAAGAATCAGCTCTTGGCCTCATTTCTAAGCTCTGGTGGCTGTGGTCTCCGTCTCATTAACACACGCTCCTGTCTTCACTGTCTTCTTTTGCTGGGTTTCACGTGGTCGTCATTTTCTTGTGTTTAAGAGGAAGCCAAGGCCACCAGTTTTAAATGTTCCTCCTTCTTAAATTAAAAAATGTTTAACTTATTTTATCGTGGGGATGGTTTGTGTGAGAACACACGCCAGAAGAAAACTTGGTTAAGTTGGTTCTCTCCTTCCACCATTATGTGGGTTTCAGGGCTCAACCTCAGGTGGTCAGATTTGCACTACAAGGGCCTTTACCTGCTGAGCCATCTTGCCCACGTGGTCCTCTTTTCTGAAATGGCTTCTTAATTGTATTTCTTTACCTCTAAAAGCTGCCTCTGTGCCCTAAAATTTCTGATAAATTATATTTTCATTTATGTGGTTGAAAATACTTTCTAATTTCCCCTTTGATTTACTCTCTGAAAGTGGATTACTTGTTAGTTTCTGAGTACTGGGGAACTTTCTAGACTCTTTCTATTATTCATTTCTGTGCTCAGGAAATTTTTTTGTGAAATGAAAAGTTGAAATGTATTGAGCCTTGTTTGGGGTTCAGAACCTGTTTCTGCAGTTACCACTAGAGCAGCCAGGGGGAGGGGGGAGGTGGGAAGCTTGGAGGGCTTTCAGGGATCATCAGGTGATGCTGTTTTCAGGGAGGGAGAGACAGGTGTCAACTTGGGCCCCAGCCGGGACATTAGGGCATCTGCAGTGGGGAAGCAGGGAGCAGGTGCATGGTGGTGCTGGAGCTCAGGTGTCCACGAAGGATAGAAGAATGGTGAGGACTGAAGCCACCAGCCTAGACCAGATTAAAGCCTGACATGTCTCAGCTCCAGAGCAGTCAGAGGGCATTGATCACACAGCCTAACAGGGCCCCATTGTGTTTCCTTTCCAGACTGGAAGAAGCGCTTCATCGGCATCCGGATGCGGACCATCACACCAAGGTGAATGCCACAGGCACCACCCCTCTGTCCTGTCATCTCACCAGCCCCTTCCACATACTGGCAGCTGTGCCTCCTCCTGGCTGTACGCACTGCTCGGCAGGCTGTCACATCACTTATTCTACCGTCTCCACACAGCCTCCTCTGCCCTGTGTCTCCGCCCAGAACCGCAGTTACTGGATGTGAGACCTGCCTAGGTCTGGATGACTTCATCTAAGGATCTTTAGCCAACTACAGTGGCAAAGACCCTGTTTCCAAACACAGTCACATTCTGAGGTCCTAGGTGGACACTCTTCTACCTCCCTAGGCCATTCAAGTCAGGGGAGCGTCCTGCTGTTTGCATACCCCACTTCCCTTCAGCACCGTGGTGTCCCACAGTGTTGGAATGACCCTTTAGTTGTCTTCCCCACACTGCCTGCCACCTTGACCATGAGTCCCAGGGAGAGGGCTGTGTCCCACTCACCCCTCAGCTCTGGTCCTGAGAGAAGTCCAGAGTGGGGCAGCTGCCTATAAATACAGGATGAGAGTGGTAGAGAGGGGGAAGAGGGAGAGAGGGAGGGAGAGAGGGAGGGAAGGAAGAGGGAGGAGAGGAAGGGAGGGAGGAAGGAGGGAGGAGAGAGGGGGAAAGGAGGGAGGGAGGTCCATCCAAGGGTTTGCAGAAGGAAGTCTCTCTGTTGTGACGCTCTAGGGACGGCTCAGGAGTCTTCACTGACCATCCCTAAATAACCACTCTCTGCTTCAGCAGCTGTCAATCAAGGGAGCAAATCTGAAAAGATTCTGTAATCAATACCTATACCAATGCATCTTTAAATCGTGTTTCCCACCCTCCACCAGACCCACCATCGTGCCAGTCTTCTCTCTTCATTCCATAACTGAGACACTGTCCATCCCCCACCCATTTCCTTCAGTCCATCCACCCACCCACCTCTCCTCCTTCTTGTCAGCCTTCCTCCCACCCGCCCTCCATCTTGTTGTTCCCCCCCCTTCCACACTGGTAGCCAGTCATGACCACTAAGCTGTCTTGAGCAACCTTTCCCCGTCTCCTGGAGCCCAGCTCCTGGGGCCCAGGGTGCTCCGAGAGTCCACAAGAGGCTGCTTGTCTGGCCTGGGTGGTGGGGGAAGGGGCAGCTACATGCCAGGGAGCTGGGCTGGTGGCACAGAGAGGCTTGACACAGAACTGTCTTTCCAGCTTGGTGGATGAACTGAAGGCCGCCAACCCAGACTTTCCAGCGGTCAGCAGTGGGATTTATGTGCAAGAGGTCGTTGCAAATTCACCTTCTCAGAGGTAGGCTCCATAGACCAGCAGAGTCAGGGAGGTTGATGGGAGGCTGATGGGAGGCTGTCAGACAAGGGCTTGGGGGCTGGGCCGCCTCACTGACCTTATGTGACCTTGAACCTCCTGGTAAGAACATGTGGAGTCTGGCCTCTCCTCTGAGCCACGGGAAGGATGAACTGTCCCTGAGAGTGTTGGCCACGCCTGTCCTTGGCACAGAGGGATCTTTCCTTTGGGAAGCAGAGGCTGAGGAGCCCCCGCCTGGGCCAAGAGCTGCGTCCAAGTCTCCTCTCTCCACAAACAACTGGGTCCTCAGTTTTCTCATTTGTAGAAGGGAATGATTCTGCCTATTTCTACCCCCCCCACCAGAGACATAGTCAAGGTCAGTGAGATAAAACCTTGTTTTCTCTGAAGCCATCAAGAACTACAGACATGCTAAGTACACGACAGGTGTGGTGGCATAAGCCTGTAATCCCAGCACTTGGGAAGTGGAATCGAAACTATCAGGAGTTCAAGGCCAGCCTCAGCTAGATAGGGAATCTCAGGCTAGCCTGAACTACACAAGACCCTATCTCAAAAAACCGAAACAAACAAAATAAGTGTCAAGTATTGGGACGTCATGAGCTGAAACAAGGGTCCCATGTGACCACGCCCTGGCACGGCTAGACTGTGCCCCAAGGAGGGCTCAGAGCCAGTCTGCCCCTCCCTGGCCTCTGCCTCACCATGCCTTGGTGGGCTGGGTCACAGCAGTGTTTTTGAACCGTGGTCCCAGGAACTAGGGTGTGGGCCGCTGTGGGGAGAAGATGGGCCTGCCCCACCTTCTGCAACAAGCAGTTTGAACATCACTGGCCATCGTGTGTCAGTCACTTGGTTTGTCCTTGGTGTTCTTGTTGAAATTATCTTGTTCAACTGCTGCTGCTGAGCCCTGGGAGCCCAACCTGAGCCTGGGAGCCCAGCCTGAGCCCTGGGAGCGTGTGCACACTGACAGTCTCTCTCCTGGTTCCCAGAGGAGGCATCCAAGATGGTGACATCATTGTGAAGGTCAACGGGCGCCCCCTGGTAGACTCCAGTGAGCTGCAGGAGGCCGTCCTGACGGAGTCCCCGCTCCTGCTGGAAGTGAGGCGTGGGAATGATGACCTCCTCTTCAATATCGCACCTGAGGTGGTGATGTGAGGCCACCTCCCTCCAGTGCCATCGCCAGCATCTGCAGAAGGCGGGGTCTCAGCCGCCAGATCAGGACGAGGGACCACTGTGGTCCTCAGCTGGGCCAGCAGCCTCCTCCCAGCATTCAGGGCAGAGCCTAAGGCTGGGCCTAGCCTGGGGGTCTGGATCGAAGCCTTGACCCTGAATCCCAGTGCCAACAGGGGAAGCCCAATGTTCCCTGGACCAGGGGCTCCTGAAGTCACCCTCTGAGGTTTCTGGAGCTAGAAACTCCTAGAATTATCCCTGGAAGCTCACCCCTTATCTGCTTCCTGCCTCTGCACCTGTCCATCCCTCAGAAAGGCCCATGTTGCTCTAGCCCTACCCCTTCACGTCCCTCACAAATGTCTTCCTGACGTCCTCAGGCTTCTGTCTGTAACAGCACCCACCTCATGATAAGACAGGGGCTGCTTGCCCTGCCACCTGGGATCCCTGGAGGGCAGGCCATGCAGCTGGCCCCCAGAGGAACCATGGTCCTGATCCGTACCAGGTGAACGTTACCCACTGCTGAGCTGAGCCCTTTGCTGGCCCAGGTGGGCTGGAAGCAGCAAGCAGCAGAGCATCACTGGCAAGTACTTGCTGCCCTGAGAGTACATCCTCCCAAAGTGACCATGTGGTGGCCAGATAGGGCGCTAGCACCTGCTGGAGGTGCAAGGACTGAGCCTCTTCACCTCCCCATGCAGCTCTGGGTGCAGCCGCCAGCTCTGAGGACTCCTGCCCAGCAGCCAGCAGGCTCCCAGGGCCATCCCCAGTGTCCCTCATCTTTCAAGGTGTTGTGAGCTTCGCCACCCCACCCCATGTTGCTTGTACTGTATGTTTACTGTTTGGAATTAAAGTTTACAAGCACAGGGCTGTCAGGGAGGTGCTTGGCACATCCATGGTGCCTGAGGTGAGACCTGAGCAGTGGCCTTTCCAAGTTTATCCAGCAACTGCGCTTGATAGCCTGGGACACACCAGACTTCAGGGACACCTGCTGCTGTGGGGCCTCCTCAAGTCAGATCGCTGGGGACGGATCCAAGCTCTGCCGCTTGTAGCCCAGAAGTCAGAGATAAGAAGCATCCCCTCCCGGCCTTGGCCTCTCCCTCCTGCTGTTACCCACCGCCTAGTTTCTATGGGGGACAAGGTCTTGGCAGGGTACCTGGCTCTCAGTGAGCACCCACGCCCGTCCATGCACAAATAGTAATGTGGCAGAGCTTTCTCTCCACACCATATCCCCCCCAGTAATGCAGAAACTGAGGGAGGAGGATTTAAAAGGCAGGCTGGCTGCTCAGGGCACAGCCCAAGATGGCTGAAGGTAGGATGGTCTAAATTTGTCCTGAGGGAGTTCTCAGGGTGACTCTGTGTGGGGTCTAGCTGGTGACCCATGACTGCTATAGACTACTGAGCTCAGAAGGATCTGGAACCTTCTAACCTAACCTGCATACAGGGGCAAAGTCTGCACAGCTGTGTAGCCCCAGACCATTCCTCCCTCCAACATGGGCACAGGCATTTTGAGTGACCCACCTCAGGGCTCCTGTTCACTGGCCTCAGATGCCCAGGGCAGCAGTGTCTTGCTCTGAGGCCAACTAGAAGAGGAGACTGAGAAGCCTGATGTAGACTTCAGGCAGAGATGACTGGAAAAAAAGGAATGAGCAGCTTTGTAAAGAGGGGGCTTATGGACCCACTTGCACAGGTTACCACAGCAGCGCTAACTAGCCCCTGCTGGGGACCCAGGAACTGCGCACAGAGGTCATGCCAAGACACACCCCTAACCCCTGTACCACACCAGCCCACAACCTTCCACTGACCACCCACACCTGCCCTAACCGGATCTCCAGCAACGCCACCCCTACCCCAATGTACCGGCTACCAACATCTGGGAGATCAGACCTGGCCTCAGAGTCTGGTACAATCTCTGCAGTGTCTGCCCCTCAGCCTGCCTGCCCTGAAGCTCCTGCTTGGCTAGGCCAGACCCACTAGGCCCCACTCCCTGCTATGGAGCCCTTGACTCAGAGGTCAAGCATTTCAGACCCAGGTCTGGGTTGTGCCTGCTCACACTACCCCTGCATTGGTGAGCAGAAGCCCTGCTTCCCTGCATTCCCATCCCCACCTAAGTGGGGCAGGCCTTGACACCCCAGCACAGTCCTCCTTCCCAGACACCTGTCCACTCCGTAGTAACTGAGCAACAGGGGCTCGAAGACCCCTTTTCTCTCTGCCACCCACTCTAGCTGTGCTATCCTGGCCCTGTATGGACCCCAGCTGGCTCCGGCACTATGACCCTGCCAGCCCTTTTGGACCTCCCAACCTGACCCAGTACCGGGCTGCATGTCACATGATCTTGGCCACCCAACTCTCTCCAAGCCTCAGTTTCTCCATCCATAAAGTGGAGCAGATACTATTGCCCTGAATGAAATGGCATACAGGAGTCTGGGCCTCAAAGTCCCCGCAACTATCACTTCTCTTCCTGCTCTCTCCCCACCCCCACCCTCCTCTCTGGCTTTCAGTTGACCTTATGTGAAATGAGGAGGCAGAAGGTGGAGTCCAAGTTCAGAGGGCCTGGCTGTGGTCTGGGTTGTGAACCATTAGGTTTCAGCCCTGAGCTACAGTATTCAAGAATCCCAAGATGGCCCTCAGACAGGCCTACCACATGCCAGGGGAAGCTGGTCTACACACCCCAGGGGCCCCATCCTCTCCCAGCAGTGGGACAGTGGTCCCTGACCACTCCCAGCCAAGTGGGCTGACGCCCGCCTGCTCAGCCAGCTGCAGTGGGTGAAAAACAACTTCTTCAGAGTTGACCGGCTGCCGCCAGAGCATTGTGCAACTCTTGGTGGCTAGATTCCCACTGCCCTCCGCTGTGTGTCCCATGAGGCTATGAACAGGGGTGTTCATGAGGCTGCCCCGTTCCAGTTTGTAGCCTCACACGAGCGCTCCCACCAGCACAGGGCCCTGCTTGCCAATGCCCAACTTCACACTGAGGAAACTGAGGCGCCAAGAGGAGAAGGGCTTGCTCCAGATTAGTTGCCGGCCTCCAGGTGACCTAGCTGGGCTCTGCCTGTTCCTCAGGCAGCTGTGGTGACAGCTGCTACAGGACAAATATCCACTCATAGCAGAGCACCTAGAAGGGACTGGCCCAGGCCAACTCACTGCAGAGCTCTGGCCTCCAGGACGATGGGAACAGAAGAGTGTATGGGATCCATTATAGTGACCATAGGAGGTTTCCGTGTTCACTGTGGTTCAGCTCACGCTCCACCCCGAAGTCCTCCAGCTTCTGGGATCTCAACAGCTTATGTATCTGACGGACGTCATCTCAGCTACATCCTCAGAGCAGCCCAGGTGCCTGGAAAGGGCAGATGTCATGATGAAGACTGATGGGCCCTAAACCTGAAGTTCATCTTCACTCTGTGTTCTGGGGCTCATTCTCGCCTCCTTGCTCCAAAGCAGACCCCAAAATTCACTATGCAGGAATATGGGATGTCCAGGAAGCGGGGACTCAGAGGACAAGGAGGATGAGGGGCTTCCCCAGAGATGCTGGCCTCTTTGAGACCCGGGGTCTTTTCTGAAAATGGTCGAGCAATCTTCACTGCACATGTCCATTTGACCCACTGCCCCCATCACCATGCCCCTTGCCTTGGTCCCCACTAGGCTCTGGGGACACAGGGACAAGGAAAGCCTGGGGAAATGGCTTCCCTCTCCTCCCCACCCTCTGTCTCCATCCCCCCCTCACTTCAGAAGAGGCCCCTTCTCCTGGGTCTCTGGGACCATCCTCGTGGCCCTCAGCTCTCCTCTCTCCCGTCGAGAAGCTCTCACCTCCCGCTGCCCACGTCCTTCTCTGGCATCCTGTGATCACCCCACACATTGCTCACTTCCTGCCCAGAGGGCCAACTTCGACATGCCCTGAAGAAGTCAAAACGAGTGGCCACTCCAAGCCCAAGTGGGGAAAATAAAAGGACGTGCACAGCTACCTGTGTGCACACTCACAGCTGGTGTGAACACACGTGCACACTGAGATAGACATGCTGGGCTTTCGGGCCTCCTGAGTACTTTATGCTTGAAGTGTTATTTTTTCAGTGATACACACACACAGTGCCCCAAACCTAATAGTTCGTTGTGTTGCCACATAACACCATCCAAGTCCACTTCCTTCCACCAGCACCCCAAAGCTCCCCCCACACCGAAGGGGACCTCTTCCTTCTTTCATAGCTTTACCCCTAAGCACATGGCACTATGAGTGGGAAATGATCTGCGTTTTTAACTGTCTAATTGGACTGACACGTAACTCAGAAGTAGAGGACTTGCCTAACATGGGTTCAATCCCAGAATCACAAAACCCAATAAATGCGTCCGTACACCCAACCACATGGTACACCCTTGTCACCTCGGCTTCTTCAGCTCCACATTATGTCTAGGAGACTTGCCAGCATCACTGTGAAGTTGTAGCTCATCCGTCTTCATCGTGTGCAATGCTGTTCTGTGAGCATTCAGTCAATTGCTGTAGCATCTCCCATGGAGGGGCGTTAGTCTGTTTCTAGCTTGCAGGTGCAATGCACCAGGGTGTGACCATCCTTATCTGTGTGCCTTGACATTTCTGCAAGGATTTCTGGGTATTTCTAGAGGTAAAGCTGCTGGGTCATTCTGTTTGGGTAGAATTGAGCACACAGCGTTCAGAGTTGCTGTACTCCGCACACCCCTGTGGGGTGCGGTCCCAGCACCCCATGGCTTCTCCAGAGCTCCAAAGCCTCACACTAGTACTCCACACAGTCTAGGAACTGTGGCTCCCGACTGAAGTTACGTGTCTATGGAGGAAGATCGGCATGTGTTGGTCATTTAGATCCCTCCAGGCAGCACCTGTTCAAGCTTTGTGGTTACTGTCCCGAGCTGCTGTTTGCTTTCTGCTGTCACAGAAGGTAGAAAGCATGTTCTAGGTACTGAAAAAAAAATAAACACCCACTTCTCATTCACAGACAGGGAAGACACCAGGCTAAGCGCAAGGCCATTCATAAGACGAACATTTCATGGCTCCTCTTTTTTTAATTTTATTTAATGTTTTTATTTTATGTGTATATGTGTATTGCCTGCATGTATATAGAGCTTCCATGTGGGTGCTGGGAATCAAACCCAGGTCCTCTGCAAGAGCAGCCAGTGCTCTTAACCACTGAGCCATCTCTCCAGCCACTCATGGTTCCTCTTACATGAGGGGACTTTCCTTTAGCAGCAGCAGCCAAAGGTGGAGGAGATGGGGTGGGGGAGTGGTAGCTGGTGGTTGCAGTCTGGGTAGGAGTTGTGCTGACAGAGGGTGGGTTAAGTGCTGGTATCCTGGACAGCACAGAGCCTGCAGCCAGTGTGGTACCTTGCACTTTAGAATTGGTAAGTGGGCAGGTCATTTCTGTCCTCTGCGAGAGCTTGTGTAAGGCAGCTTTATTTCTTAAATGGTGACAGAATTTTCTCATTAAAGACGTGTTTCCAGAGTTTTCTTTGAGGGGAGGCTTAGATTGTGAATTTGGTTTTTTCAGTAGTTATAGGACTCCAACTCTTCCACACTCTCTCATGTCAGTCTTGGTAACATATTGCTCCAGGAATCTGTTCATTTCATCTAAATCTTCCAATATATTGGCAGGAAGTTGCCATAATTTCCTCTTTTATTTCTTTAATGTGTTTGCTTTCCACGGTGTTGGGGAATAGTCTTAACACCAGTATGTGCCTCCTCCTCTCCCTCCGACTCTCCTTCCCGCTCCCCCACCTCCTCCTTTGTGCTTAAAGACACAACTTTCCTTCCAGCAAAGCTAAGCTATGTGACTCTAGTTGTTTTCCCTGGAACTTGAGTTAGACAGAAGATGCCCCCAGTTGTTCCAGAATCTGTAGAGCTTATGTCTAG